TGCAGTCCCAAGTACATATCCGAAGCGAGTAATATAAGGAAAAGTCATGATGGAAAAAATGGTAAAAGGAAGTGCGGCCAAATGTTATACGAACTTGCTTATGTTACAAATGTGTCCCTGCGTTACTGGATGTACGTTTGGTTTTTGCTGTTGGTGGCGCAAGGTAGATGAAACAGCGGGGTTTGGGGAATAGTGGCTGCGCACATACTGCCAGCCACAAAGCATCAAACGTTGAGTTGATCAAAATTTAAAGGTAGAAACCAAGTTTTAAAGAAGGCATAGGCTAACGATATTAACTCCTTGGTAGTTCCTGCTGTGAGTTTCTTTGTCCCTCCCCATTCCTTTTAGTCTCCCCCTAAATCTACGATCTCATTTCCTAGGGTAAAACATAATTAAATTTTTTTCTTTTTGCCTAGTAGCTGGCTGGAAGCTTATCGGAACGATGCCTATCCGTTGCTGGTAGCTCAGCTGGCATGCAACTGTTGTATCTTTTTTTCCTTTGTGTATTGTGTTATATGTATGTATGTATATATTTCTTTCATGTATTGCGGCACAATAGCGGAGGTGTTTTCCCCCTCTAGCTGATGTGTATAATGATGATGCTGATGACTTGGTAGTTGTACTGAGGTACATATTTGCGCATTAGACTGCAGTAGATCATCGCTCTGAGTAGCATGACATAGAGACAACAATGCAGTTCCAAGCCCAATTGGTACTCAAGTGTTAACGTTAACAAATCGTAGGCAATCCATGGGGAGGAAAACTTTAACTATGAAACCATGACAGCAAACTAATCAGTACAGGCAGTAGTATACAGTTCGTCACTCTTTAGCAAGCTCTTATAGTAAATGCGAGTAGCCATTGGCGGTGAATTACCATCCAGTGGCATTAATAATCACGAGCGTGGCTTATAATCTGTCACGCGTACGAGCCCATCTAGAGGACTGTGTACACACAGTATCGTTAACCCAAGCGCGTGGTGCTGGTTACGCCGCAGCGAAGCATTGGTACTACATACCGGCTACTGCTGCAGCTTACTGCGGGCGAATTACAGCGTTTGAAATAGCTTATAAGGGATCTTTCGCACTGCGATCAAAAATCCTAAATGAAGCTGTCAGCCGGGTTGCTGAATTTGAGCGGCGTTGCATTGTTATTTTTAGTAAAATAGTAAACAAACAAGAATAAGCATTTTTCTCCACAAATTTGAGTAAGCGATCATAGGTAGAATCATAGTTTTACAGCCCTTTGTTGATTGTCGAACACAAAATAACATGAAACAGTAAAACGTTTTGTAAGTTGCATATTATTAAAAAACACAGATTAGAAAACAATACTTTTTCAAGCAAGAGCAAAATATATGTGTGTGCACCGCATTTGTGAAAAAGTGTGGCATGTGCGAACGTTAGTACAAGTAGTCTTGTCACCAGAATTTTCTGTACCGACCAAGGCAGACGCGGACTGGGCTGTGAGGTAAATTCTCCGGTAAATTCACTTCTTTAATTTTTCGTTCCTTTGACAGGATAACGATATGTTTAAACAACTGCAGAGTCGTCTAAACGGAAAAGTATCGTGTGTTGAGGGATTGTAAATTGAAAGTGATTAGATGTGTGTGTCAAAGAGTTCAGTAGATAGAAGAAGTATGCCTGGATATAGAAGAGGAAATCTGCTAAGCGGTTACACGGAATGTGCAGAATAGTCACATAAATTGTCAGTTAGGATCAAGTTCAGTAGACACCGCCGAACAAACATTGGGATTGAGGTCACAGGCTTAAGATTAGGGTGAATTACTACCTTGATATCTAGTAAGGTAGGTGAGTTGATAATGAATTAGCAAGAAGTCAGAAAATAGAATGAAGAAAATATTCCGAAAGTGGTTGACATTTCTCCGAAAGCAAATGACAAGTTCAAAATGCAGCAATGTTCCGGCAGAGGAGGGGCTTGGTGAGTAAAGTAGATCCGCGGGATTGGCAAAATATTCCAAGGCGCAGCCGAGTGGCATTCGCTCGAAAAACGGGAAGATACATTTTCGAGCAATTCCTTTGTTTAAGGTGCTAGTATATCCCGGTTTATAAAAGCACCAGTCAAATAGTGACTTAAACAACATTTAACGATGCACGCATTTTTCGGCATAGAAGAGCACCCCACTATTAGAGGGATCCTCAGAGGAGGTTGACGGTGTTCCGTATAACTGTTCTCCATCAGAGTTCTTCTTCCTTTGACTATCTGTACAACAGTTGATCCATAAACACGAACGACTTGATACTATTCTTTGCGCAACTTATGTTTGCGAGTCTGCACAATGCGGTCTTGCAATTTCGTCCATTTCACCACTATGACAGCAAAGTTTTAGCAGGTAAACCTGAGTTCTCGACTTATTATTCCGAGGAAGATTCTTGGGTATTTTCGGTGCTTGTTCTACCCTACGATTCAGTAAATGCATACAGAGAAAGTTTGAATCCTAATGTTGGTCACAGTAAACTATTTTGCATTTCACCGGCCCACGTTCCACGTAACTTGGTGGCAAATGTCTCTAAGCTGAATGCAAGCTCCATCGCTCAGCATATATTTGATTGCCCTACGTGCGTACCTCTGCTAGAAACAATCAACATAATTCGTCAAGTTATGTCAACTCAACAATGCGCTTTCTGCAACCATGAAAGTGAATATTTAGCTACAACAAACACGCTAAAGACAGGTAAAATCAAAAGTGTAACAAATAAATAGAATGCGCCAGCGATTTGAAAAGGTGGCAGTGGTGATACCATCAAATCAGTCCAGCAATTTAGTCATGTTTGACTGCATCTAGCTCCATCAGAAAAGATGACAAGTAGGGCAAAGCTGACGTACCATACGCCCGCGGGCGGGTATAAATGTCTTTTTCTCTTTGTCTGCTCGAAGAAGTTGAGATACGTGCCGACAATGTACGATGGAGAGCGTGGCTGGCATTAATGAGTATTTTGGATTAAAGATTTTCGCGGGCTCGGACGTGCTTATTATCAGTTAGCGCTAACGTTGAAATTTCGCTGCATGTGGTGAAATGCCTAGGTAATCTGTTGATCATTTTGAATGCCATTTTGAGAGTCCGTACAATATGATAGATGAGCAGTAGGTCCAGTTCGTTATTATGCCAGCGGTGACAAAACGTAAACGCAACTAAAGAGGTGCGGATGAAGACCTAGATCCGGAGACATAAAAAGTTGGTAGTCAGATTTTAGTGAATATTTCATTCTTGTGTAGGGACCACGTGAGATCCCGACTTAATGTAGCTCCTAGATATTTTAATGTACAAGAGTTCAGACTGACAATCTCAATACTAAGATGCGGGGTATGCGCGAGGAATTACTGATAACAGTTTTCCTTACACAGCGAGTAATGAACATCTTTACACTTTCAATGTTGAACTTGGAGAATCCGCTGGTGGTTGGGTTGCTACAAGCAACCTCTATTGAGACCTCGGTTCACTTGAGGTGGACCTCAGTCATTCCGATCACAAGGACCGTAAGTAAAATGGAAACATTATAGTGTTGCTCATCCCAACTCAACTTTGAATTCGTTTCCGCTGTACCAAGCGTTGCTCGCGGATCTCAGTGGCATAGTGCTTATGGCGTCAACCATGAGCCAGTAGGCTCTGAGTTCCAGCCCAACTCTGGCTATCTCCAACTGATGAGTCCCAACCAGCACGAAACCGCGGTCTTGGGGTGCCAGTGTTGGAATGAGCAACACTATAATGTTTCCATTTTACTTACGGTCCTTGTGATCGGAATGACGGAGGTCTACCTCAAGTGAACCGAGGTCTCAATAGAGGTTGCTTGTAGCAACCCAACCACCAGCAGCTTCTCCAAGTTCAACTTTGAATTCGTTTCCGCTGTACCAAGCGTTGCTCGCGGAGCTCAGTGGCATAGGGGTTATGGCGTCAACCATGAGCCACTAGGCTCTAAGTTCCAGCCCAACTCAGGCTATCTCCAACTGATGAGTCCCAATCAGGACGAAACCGCGGTCTTGGGGTGCCAGTGTTGGGATGAGCAACACTATAATGTTTTCATCTTTACATTTTGATGCGTTGAGTGATAGACAGCGGGATTTGAACCAAGCTGGGAAGTTGACCAAGAATGATTTTATGTTTGCTGATGAACTTATTGTGTGATGGTCTACACCAAGAATCACGTCATCAGCATATCTTAGCAAGATGGCTCCCCTTGGGGAGGGAATGGTATTAATGTAGGTGTAAAATAGTAAGGAATACTAAATAGCTTTCTGAGGAACACCGAAATTTTCGGTGTATGTGGGGTGAGCTTATTCCCCTAATCTTAGTAAACTGAGTACGCTTGACAAAGTAGTCTGTAAGAAGTGCTAATGGAGATGGAACTTCTGAAACAAGTATATTCTGTAATAACAGCTCACGGTTTACACAACCGAAACCATTGCTGTAATTTAGGAAGTAGATCCGCGTGGGTCTTCTTTTACTGTCGAGGGATGAAAGCACGAGTGTACAAGACAGACTAATACATCCAACATGGACCTTGAACTGCGATAGGCGGGCTGAAAATGATCACTTGAGTGGGTTTGACAAGCACATGGCTTGTCTGCTCCAGTTTGTAGAGGCTTCAGCGATTCTTCGGCTGAGACACAATTTATATAGGCAGAAGGAGTCTGGGATTGTTGTCACTTTGCTCTGTTGAGGTTATCCATTAGGTTAGTTGAACGATTTCACACTTTGTCTTACCGTTGTGTGTGTGCATAATATTGATTCCACAGATTGTCTGCACACAGCTGGTGAGAAAACAAAATATATGAATTCAGATTATTCTTTTGCAGGGTTGCTTCTTGTTATTTTGAAGTGTGTGAGGGGAAAATATCGTTTGGAAATATGGTCGGTCCGTCGGATTTAACGCACTTCCCCACTGATTAAAAATCTTTATAACTCGAACTACTACTCAGTAGTGTAATATCTCATCATCCATTTTCTCACTAGACCTATCTCCCTTCCTATTGCTTTGCAGCTCTGGTGGAATACACTGCGGCGCATAAGCTAGATCCAAAGGATGAAACAATTGTCAAGGATTTGGCTAGCATTCAAGAAGCTCTGACCTGCAGGACAGCTGAGAAGTCGTAGACTTGTGACGAAAAGACTGAACCCTCAGCCTCCTTGTCCACGAATCCAGAAATGATGTAAAATAATGTGATTTCCTGTGTTGTTTTGTCGTATTCAACCATTGAATCCCAATCGAAATTTGCCGCCTACATTCGTGCTTAGCTTCCCCTGTGAAGAGGATTACGAGCAGCGGATTTCGTAGCATCACCCACAGCAACGCTCGGAATCGCCCTACTCAGTGTAACTCAGGAAGACTGATTCAGTGGGTATACTTAGGTAGAATACGCTTGCTTCTGGGTTCGGGTGTACCTGCACATCAAGCCTATTTCGGTTGATAAATTTACTAATGTGACCGTGCCACAAGTATTAGTGACAACTGCACCGCTCAACTGCAGTGGCACCGCGCAGGTATCCGTAAAGTTAGTAGGAGTATGATTCTTGTGCGCTCTTTGCTTGTAGATGTTGCGTGCATACCAGGCAGACAGCTAGTGAATGATATACCTTCATCGTTTCCGTGATGAAGCTACGCTTTGAACTTATCGTTGTGTGGGATGTCTTAATCACGGCAATATAATTTTGGCTTAGTACAAGAGATATGAGGATATTTTTATGGTGGACGGTTCAGCATTGCATCAAACAGCAAATGAAGAAAAGGACGCTCCGAACAAATAGATATGGCACTTAAATCTGGCAAACTGTCGCCTCACTTCGATATCACCGCCCGCTGACCTTTTCTCTTTACTTTTGTCATTGACAAAGTCATGGAAGCAGCGTTCGCTGGACATGACCTACAAGGTGTGGAGCTACAACCTGGCGAGCGACTTCTTGACTTGAAGAATACAGATGACATTGCCCTCATATGTAACAGCTCCCAAACGCTCCAAGGTGAACTGAAGCGATAAGCAGTATCTGTCAATCATGTTAGGCTGTGCTTTGTTGCTCCGAAATTGGTAGAATCCAAACTGTGCGCTGACCGTTGGTGGTGGTCAGGTGGAAGTCGTTCAGGAATTCAAATATATGGGAAGCTGTATTAGCGCCGTGATGTCGAAGACGAGGTTACGAAACTTTTAGCAAAATCTCGGGGTCTTTGCCAATCTCCGCCACCTATGGCGACGACGTGACATCACGGCAGCCGTAAAGGGCAGAGTTTATGATGCAGCCGTCAGTTGAATCATTGTATAGGGTTGTGAAATCTCGCCAATCAGGTCGACAGACTTGAAGTGGCTAGTTAAGTTCGAGCACCTCTGCCTTCGCAGCTTAGCTCATGTCTGGTGGGATCATCGCGGGAGCAATGAGTGTGTTCGGCGTCGCGCATTTGGTGCAGGAAAAGCGAGTGAACCTCTCAGCGCCATTACGTCATGCACCAGGCTCCCATGTCTTGGCCATGTGTTGCGTATACCAGCACACCGACTCCCGCTACGTGTATTGCTTGCGGGCCGGGGTCTGGATGAAAGAAGAGAAGGGCAGGTCAAGCGATGACTTGGTCAAGAAAAGGAAAACCCTCTTCAGAGCTGACTTCGGTTGGTGCTTCCTGACTGCCTGGCTGGGGTCCGAAGGACCATATACACGTAGGGTTGGACACAACTGCTTATATGCTGAAGAGCAGACCCCAGTGGCGTTTGTGCTGTGATTTTCTCTGTCCATTCCTCTTCCTTTTAGATTGCCCTCTAATTAAGATCATATACGAAATACCTAATATAATATTTAACAGTATAGTACTTTATTTTTATTTTTTCATGTAAGTTTTTGATAACTTATCTTTTTTACGGCACATGAGCTGAGGTGTATTTCTCAACTTCAATTAACGTGCACTGATGATGTTGTTGATGTCTCAACCTTGCATCTTTGTATGTTATCAGCATGTGTATCCTACTAGACCCTATCGGTAGTACGAAGCGGAGATGCTCGACAAGTAGATGGGAGCAAGCTCTCATCCACTCATGCGCAGTTGAGCTCGATTTAGGAAGTACGGCAAAAACCAAATCATCTACGGTGCTGGTAACTACACGGCAGTGCCTGCATTGATGGTTAAGGAATGAAAGAATAGATTGGCTTCAGCAGTACGCCGCTATGAAGTACTGACGATTCGCCGCCACACAACGACCATCTCTCCTGCGTGGACTATGGATGCTGCGAGGGTTGTCCAATCCCCTACGCAGACTGGAAACCGTGACCTCCGGATTACAAGGCAGGCTGGTTAAAAGGAAATCAACATGGAATCCTACACATGATTGGCACGCTGGTCACCGGTCGTACAATAGTTCTATGTCAAGCGAGTTCAGCTGATAAGTTTGCGAAGTCTGTGGGGCACAGCCTACATTTGTTATTAGTTAACTATACCTATACGGAAGTGCATACTTCATTCTCCAAGTTTGCAGACTGTAGAGCAAAATTAATATCCCACATCCTATTTGTAGACGAATGAAATGAGTATATTTCTAACTAATCCTACTGAGGTGGTAAAACAATGCTTTGAGAAAAAGAATAATTTAAACACTGTGCACATGTAAATTGAAAAGTGCTGTAATAATGTAATTGCTTACCAATCTGTTGCACCGTAATGAGTCAGCAAAACGATGAGGTGATAAGGATGCCAGTTGTAACTCATCCATCAAATGTATTCGCGATCATATATTTAAACAACGGCACCTGCCGACTAACAAGTCAGTCTAACGAGACACTGAGCTAAAGCTAGGATGGTGGCCGATTGATTCTAGCGTCTAATTAACAGGCCACAATTCGTAGGGCTAAGCTTGTGGGCTGTTTCAGAGTAGCCTTAACCCAGGTGCAACTTCTAGAAGTCAGGCTAGGTACCGGCGCACTGGTGATACCTTAATTTTTCTCCCCTTTAGCAAATCACACTCGTGTGAACTTGCCAATGATCAACCAGAGTGAAGTGCTCATCCACCATATGGTTAAGCCAGAAGAAGCAATTTTATGATGATTAACATTCTGTCAATTTTTATGTGCACAAGAATTTCACATAAGCAGTATTCGAGTGGAACCTGCATGCCTGTTTAAATGCGCGCCATAAGTCAGGCTACGAAGACAGCGGAGGGTTGATGTCAATTTCCCGTTAATGTTCCTGGTGCTTTCCTTTCCAAATTATCCGAGCCTTTCAGATCCATGAGAAGGCAGCGGCAATGACTAATGATAGCCTGATCGCTCAGGTTATTGCTTCTCCAGGGCATAGGTTATCTTACACTGAATTACAGTACAACGCTGAAATACATGAGGAAAGGTTACAGTACAAAATGGGCAGCAGATAACCAACACTAATAAGTCAAAGGTGAGCTAGTTAACTTCAAACCTGTCACACATATCCTTCTTTAGACAAACGCCGCAATTCTAAAGTGGCACGGCACGAAAGTGGGCCACTCTCAGTAACGTTTCTCTTACTAGCTGATGTTCAGCAGTAGATGGTGACTGGTAGGGTCAGTACTCAATCAAATATAATCAAAAGTATCTACATTGCACCCTCGTTCATTTTCATACTACGTGAAATTTACACCAATGAAACGTAGCTGTACACTAAGGGCAGTATCATCTTACGAATACAATGCATCCGAACTGAGTCAATGTGCTACTTTAAACACCCATGTGTTCATACGGCAGGGTTGGGTTTTTGATCACCATACGCGTTATACACCAGAGAACAAGTGCAACTATATCCCCATATCAAATAACAAGTATCACATATTCGCGTGTCATTTGGTGCACATATAAGAAGTCGGGTTCCTTGGTGATCAGGTCAACCACCAGTAACTCACGCAGCAAACCGTGTGTAGTGTTTGAAACAGATGCTGTTTAATGTCGCCTCAGATCTGTGTTTTTTAACTGGCGGCGCAGAGTAATTTGGTGATTGCGCGCCTGTGATTCGATGGTAAAATACGTCTGACGGTGAGACTGCCAGATGCCTACGTTGGAAGCAATTGTAGACGCGGGATTGCGTTACTTACATTTTCATACTCAAATTGATAACGACAGTGGTTGTGAATTGAAACATGAACGCTTTCGTTTTCATTATGCTCTTTCGCCACGTGACCACTGTGCTTCGTGATAAAATCATGTCGTAATTGCTGCAGTCGCAAATTAAGTCACAAAGGACGAATTGTGTACCTAGGCTGAGGCGGGATCACTTTGGCCACAGCGCGATGCTTTGGGAAACCTTCGTTTAGTCCCATTATTACCGTCGTTATTATAAGTATGTATTTCAAAGTGGTCAGTGGAGATTTTACGGACGAAGGCCATGGTTACCTATATAGCGGAACGTGTTGCCAAGCACGCAACAAAATTTTGCTAAAATATGTGACCCCACGTTATTATTATATTATTAAACACCTTAGCTAAAGTTGCAAAACGCGAATACTGTGCCGCAATACATAAGAAAAGAAAAGAAGCAACATACAAGTGCACTCCAGCTGGGCTATCAGTAACAGATGGGCATGGTTCCGGAAAGCAACCAGCCGGCTACCATGCAACAAAATATTTGTTATGCAAATTTTGTATCATGGTAAGAAATGAGATCGCGGTTGTAGGGTGAGGCTAACAGAGATAGGGAGAAACAAAGCAACTCAAAACACGAAAGCCGATGGTACGCGTCAAGCTAGCTTTTTACATACCCACCATGCATGGTGCATAAGCTACGGCTATGACGACACCGAAACATCAGGTTAGCTATGGGACAATATTCGAATAGGCGGTAACGTAGGAAAAGGCGAGCGCGACACTAAGTCGAGAACTGTGCGAATGGGTGCCTAGTTATTCAAACAAGCGCATGCAAGCGGACGCAGAACATTAATGGCTGAGGCAAATATTCAATATGAAGGGTTAACTCCAACATGACTCCAGAATCGTCTGATGGCTGAGGGAGGGTAGCGCTGCTTCGGTGAGAAGCTGTCTCGCGATTTCATCCTCTGCTCATCGCCTTAACTGTGTTAACTAGTGTCCAGCAATCCAAACTAACCTAGGAAGACATAACTAACCAATTGGTAGTTTGCAACTCATCGACGAATTCCGAACTAATGAGAGGCGCTTTGATGAAAAGTTACTGGTTCATCCCAACGGCGGTAGTAACACGTAAGACGTTGGAGGATCGATCGTGCTATCCCCCATTTAACTTGCAATTTATAACAGTCTGCCGCCGTCTCTGTTGTCTCAGTGGCATAAGTTGCTGGCTA